TTCTCATAGGAAAATAATGTAGCAAAATTCAAAGATTAATAACAGTAGAGAAGAACGAAATTTTATAAAAATCCAAATGAAGGACTTGTCTATTTATAGATGCAATGACAGTTTTTCAGATTTGAATCCAACAAGTATGGTACTTGTTCAAACAGGGTTAAACAGATACAAATCTGTATGGTTTGAATTGAACATATATGGGTTTGAATTGAACAGATTTGAATTTGTTCGGACAGATAAGGAACCTATACATAAATTTTGAAGAGGTGCAAGTCAAATTTGAATTTTTCTCCAATCGAAATTTGAAAACAAAACTGGATAGATTTTATTTTTTCAAAAAATAAAAATAAATTCAAATATTTTTCGCCCAAAAGCTGGACAAGTCCAACCTCACACCTGCCCGGACGACTGACGGCACGCTCGTGTGTTTGTTTTGGGTCCAACCCAACCTCACACCACGTACCTATGCCAAAGCCTAGCCTAGCCTAGCCCGCCCAGACGGCGGTGGCACGTGTTTGTTTTGGATCTAATGGATGTAGCCCACTTTGGCCATAACCACTCCCTCTACAAAACTTGAGTGCCCCTTGGGGCTTACCCTAAGTTCCAAACCAAAGCCTTAGAAACCCATAGAAAGTTTGCCTACCAAAGCAATGTGGGACAAACTTTAACGCATTCTTTATGGAAACTTCACCAATATATCATTTCCATGGAGCTCACTTTGGTTTCAATTTCCCATTCACCTGATAATGGTTTTGAGCAACCAAATATATTACATGAATCACAACGCGGCATAGAACGCGTTACCACTTAAACTCGCTAACTTTGACGCATGGATCTCACTTAAAAATTAGACCAAAATTTAGAAAAAAAAAAATTCAAAATCATTTCTAACAAAAATAACTATAGTTTATAATTTACAATTAACATACAATTAAACTTAAAAAAACTAAATTCATACCAATATGAACATCCACACTGTAACATAAAACAAAATTGAAAGAAAAAAAAAACTATTTTAATTGTTTAATGGTAATAAAAAATAATTGTTCAAACAATTAGTAATAAAAAACCAATGATATGTGAACATTCACGTCTTGCGAAATATTTAATTACTAGCGTATGCCTGTGCCTGAAGGCACGGTGTAAATAATATTGGGATTAAAATATAATTATAATCTCAACACTATTTAAATTTATTTTTTAATTTGATAAAATCACAAATTTATTATAAAATTTTGGAGTTCTTACAAAACTCCTTACGAAAACTCGCTTTTGCTTATATAATATTTAGCTAGATAGATAGATGTGCCTAGCATACATACAATTTCCATGGATATACATACAATACTTCTTTTACTTATATAATTATATGGGAATTGTATGTATGCCCGTAATGTCCTAGTGTATTACGGGCATACATACATTGTGTGGAAATATGAGTAAAATATATTAAACAAAAAGGAGAAAATAAAAGTAAAAAAAAAAACAAATAGAGAGAAAAATAAAAATGGGAGAAAATAAAAAAAATAAAAAGAACAAAGAGAGGAAGGTGGGATCATGAGATCATGGAATGATGGATGAGAAAAGGAAACAGTAAGAAAGAGAAGCGGGAAAATAGAAAATATATATATAGGATATTTTTTGAAAAATATATCTCAACCGTTCTTTTATAATTTGAATAGATCTGAGTTGTCCAAATGTCCTAGTAGGACAAATGTGTGCAGGACAAATTCAAAAACCATCCTGTTTTATTATATAGATATCCATATCTATATTCTAACACTTATTTCTTAGACTTTCAAATAATGTGAAATGTGAACATTCATACTGATTAACAAAAAAATAGAAATAATGGTAGCAATAGAATTAGAAATCCAAAAAAAAAAACTCAATCACTCTAAAAGTAAAAAAAATATCACCCATATCCTCATCTTCATCTTCATCATCATCTTTATCATTATTACTATCATTAACAATCTATGCAATTTCACCCTTCCACCAATCCAAATCAAATCAAATCTACATTTGAAGAATATGTTAATAACAAAATTGAATGGACATAAATAGAGTTTCGGCTTACAATAATAGAAAAATATAGAGTTTTGAATACAGAGCAATAATAGACAAATATAGAATTTCGAACACAAAGTGACAATGAAGGAATATAAAGCTTCAATGTAATAATGGAGGAATATAATATTATTTCACCACCATATGTAACTAGAGTTTCTAAACTCTACCAAATAGAGAGTTTCAAAATCCTAGTATAATGAAACAATACCACAAATGTGAATAAAACTGATCAAAAAGAAAAACGTGAATAATGATAACTACCAAAATAGAGGTATCAACAAAAAGAAAATGTATATATCATTTTCTATATAATACATATCAACAATAAACATAAGGGTATAATAGTCTAACAAATAATATAAATCAGGAAAAAAAGACCTCATAGAATAAAAGTATAAATACATGAGACTAATTAGGTTATAATTTTTTTTAGTAAATTTATTGGGTTAGAGCACCTCCAAATGAGATTTAACAATAAAAAATCCTTAATAAATAGATATGAGACTCGCAGTATCTCTGTATATAACATATTCATTAAATAAATTTCAAAATTTTATACCAATTTATCATTACTCCATTACAAAGTTGTGCCGACATCATTAAGAAAACAATTTAGATATCCACCACCCATTCTATTTCAATTTTAAAAAGAACCTATAAACATTTTTATTTTATAGTTTTTAGATAAAAGAAATGATACAACATAATGTGCTAAAAAAGAAAAACGAAAAAAGGGGCACATTTACCTACCAGCCAAAATCTAATGTGTCACCTTGTGAGTGTATCCCTAATATCCCAATACCCATCAGGATGATTCCATCAAAATAACTAAATCATTACATGTTGAATATGTTAAGAGCACAAAACTCATACGACCTCCACCTCTCCTCAACTCAACTACCCCACTAGTCCAAATGCACCCCTATTCTTCTCTCTTTCACACTAGTGTACTATAGTATAAATAATACATGTACTATGTAGTACTAGTAAACAAGGTGTATTAAAAGAGAAGTCCAATTGACACTTAATCAATATGGCTTCTAAGATGAGAATTTCCTTTGTTACCATTACACTGTATTTGTTAATTTCACAAGTTTTTGTTCATGTAGTTGGGGCTGCTGGAGAGTGTGGAAAGACTCCCCTACCTTCGGCAGCTGCCAGTTTAAGCCCATGCTTGGCCGCTGCCAAGAACGCAGCAGCCAAAGTTCCACCAACTTGCTGCACCAAAGTTTATGCGTTGCTCAAGACAGCCCCAAAATGCCTCTGTGCCGTCCTGCTGTCGCCTTTGGCAAAACAGTCCGGTATCAAGCCCGCGATTGCTATTACCATTCCGAAAAGGTGCAACATCAAGAACAGACCTGTTGGAAAGAAGTGTGGAAGTAAGTAATTCGTTCATCCTTTTAAGCATAAACACTTCAAAAAAATAAAAATAATACGTCCTAAAATAGTTCATAACTAACTCCAAGAATCGCTAACCAATTAACTTTAAATGGTTAGTTGCGTAAAGTTTAGGTTTGACACTAATCTGATTCGTTTTATTTTATTGGTTTTAAATATCAATCGTTACGTATTATATCAGATAATACATAATAAAATTTTAAATTTCTAATCTAACCACTGATATGTAGACTAACATTGTTCGATATATAATCATGTATTGATACGTATCTGAATACTGTTATTTAAAACCATGTACGGTGTTACTTTTGGATTCATGCAAAAAACTAACCCAAATCACTAAGTTTAGCATTCAATCATGTCATGTTAACGTATCATGTCAAAAGTTGTCACTTTTATCTTTTTCATGCAAAACTAACTGGGATAATAATTATTTGGTAGTCCAAAAATATAGTGTGACATTATCTATGCAGGGTTCCAAATTAATGACATGGCCAATTTTTTATTGATTCACCTTTCTTTAGATAGTTGGGAGGACCAGACGACTCAATTTATTTTCTAGTTTTTCATTTCCCGAGAGCACTAATGTCGAATGATAATCTCATTTTTTTTTTATCATTTTCCTTGACCAAACATGAAGTGCTATGACCTGTTTTCCAAAGGGGTGTGCTATAAGGTTAGCAATGGGTCGTACCAAAAGAAAAACAATGGGTATAAACCCATCCCAATTTATTTTAGGGGCCAGAAATATTAATGTTCAGGGCCAGTACAAATGTTAAGAATCCCCCATTTTCCTTTTTGTTTAAACAATTTTAAAAAATTATAAATATGATTTAAAATTATTTCTTAAAAAAGAGGAATTTTTTAGCACAGTTTGTCAAATAATAGTTTCATATCATTTTTATTTATTTATTTTGTGAACAAAAAAAAAAATCATTTGAATAATATTTAAATACATTTGTCAAATAATATTTTCATATCAAATAATATATAAGTTTACTTTTTAAACCCACTTTATAGATCCAGTGATATGTTAAGAAAATAATTGGCTGATAATTATTTAATTATCAACCAATTATCTTCTTGACACATAACTGAATTTAGAAAGTAGATCTAACTTTTGAGTATAAATAGCAATATATATATTTTTTCATGAAAAAACAAAATATTCATTTGAATAATATTTAATTACAAAAATATCCAATAAATTTTGCATATTAGTATTTTACGCTACGAAATGATGGATAGTTTGACATCCAACAAAGGCACTAGCTTGAAGATATATAAGTTAATCCCTATCACTTAGCATTCGTTTGGAAAGAGGTTAAGGAATTAAAATAATTATAAAAAAATAAAATAGGTTAAAAAATTAATAAAACAAAATATCACATTCAATTCATATTCATTTTATTTTTTTTCTCATAAAAGTCAAAAAAATTAAAAAATCCATTCCAAATGAAATATTTTAGTCCTAGACTAAAATAATAAAAAAAAGAAAAAGTCAAAAAGCTAACCCACATCCCCAACAAACCCTTAGGATAATCATTTTCCCTACCTCACTCCGCACTTGCATTCCCTGTTTCACCCCACACAGATTTTCTCCAGCCCAATTAAAAAATGGGACAGGGACGGGTTTTATTTCCTTGTCTTGATGGATAGTTTGACATCCAACAAAGGCACTAGCTTGAAGATATATAAGTTAATCCCTATCACTTAGCATTCGTTTGGAAAGAGATTAAGGAATTAAAATAATTATAAAAAAATAAAATAGGTTAAAAATTTAATAAAACAAAATATCACATTCAAATCATAATTATTTTATTTTTTTCTGACAAAAGTCAAAAAAATTAAAAAGTCCATCCCAAATGAAATTTTTTAGCCCTAGACTAAAATAATAAAAAAGAGAAAGTTAAAAAGCTAACTCACGTCCCCAACAAATCCTTAGGATAGTAATTTTCCTTACCTCACTCCGCACTTGCATTCCCTGTTTCACCCCCACACAGATTTTCTCCATGCCAATTAAAAAATGGGACAGGGACGGGTTTTATTTCCTTAAATGATAGGAGTCGGCTAACATTTAAGAGTGGTACGTTTCCGTATAAAATTGGGCATGGATGTCAACATATTTCGTGATGAAAAATGTATATTAGTCTATTTTTTATATTTAGGCCTTATTTGTCATAATTTAAAAAAGTCAAAAAGTCACTATTATGTTTAAGTCACATCATCTTATTTAAGTCGCATCACCTCTCTATCACATTACTTTAAACTCAATCCATACCCAATACATATTTAATAAAAAGTCAAAAAATACACTTATTGAGATCATCCCAAACCACCCCTTAATATTCATTTTTATTCATTTATTTTCTATTTTATATAATAATTTTCATTAAGTATAAATTAATATTCATAATATACTATATTATCTATAATTTTTATTAATATTTTTATTTTTCAATTTACAAAATTAACCTTTCTCCCTCCCCGCTTCTGTCATCCCGAATTTTTCCTATCCTCGATATGATACAGGGCAGAGATAGACTTCTATAAATCGACCCCAAACCCGACCCCTAACACTGGAATATTTTAAACATTGAGGCAAAATTGAATGCATTTCTTTTAAGAAATTGAAAAAAAAATGAAAAAATAAAAAAATTTGGTCGTCAAATTGGGTTGTCTTTCTTACATAATTGGATTTCTTTGGGTTAAGCTTTTGGGCCATCCTCAGGTTTACTATTTATCATAATCCGTCTCAGTTTAGCAGTAATTAGTGGTGTTATCAGTAAATAGTAGTGAGGGTTGTCACATATTCAAACAGGTTCATACCTGTTTGGTTCCTCACAGCACCTGTGGGATTCAAAATTACACCTGTTTGGTCCTATTTATACCTGGGCTGTTCCAGCATTTTCCACATCCGGAAAACAGTCTGCAAAATTTATTTTTGTTGTCTAAGTGTGCTCCTTAGTTGCATTATTCTTTATATAATTTTAAGGAAAAAATAAAGAGAGTATAGAATATAGGTTCTAGTTCATCGGACAAATTTGTTTGGAGTGCTACTACAAATTTGTGAAGATCATTGTATCTTGGAAGATAGACGCCACATAACCGTAAGCACCATAGCGGGGCGAATTTTTTTTAAGGACAGAGTGTCATACACTCGACTTGGTCTTTTGTTTGATTTTCAATTTATTTTATTTACACAGAAGATTGTTTCAACAAGTTCTCATTTAAAAATTGGAAGATGCATTTCTTTTAAGAAATTGAAAAAAAAAATGAAAAATAAAAAAATTTGGTCAAAAAAAAAAAAAAAAAAATTGGTGTTCAAATTGGGTTGTCTTTCTTGCATAATTGGATTTCTTTGGGTTAAGCTCTTGGGCCATCCTCAGGTTTACTATTTTCAGCATGGGCTCTGATTCAGACCATGTCGGCCTAACATTGAACATATTCAGTTTTTGTTTTTATTTGATTTTAAAAAACATCAAAACATTTTCTAGATACACATTTGTATTTTTCAATTTACCCCCATATGAGGTTTTATTTTTTTCAATAAAGTCCTTTCAACTATTTTTTTTGTTATTTTATTAGGTACACATTTTTACTAAGCAATTATATTAGGTGCATGTCTACTATGCCAATATTTGTAAAACTTAAAAAATGGGTGAGAGGTTATTTTATTTATTTATTTGGTTGGTAAATTACATTTTTAACTCCTGTAATTTGATTCAAATTTTATTTTCGTCTCTATTGTTTTAATTTGAACAATTTAATCCGCTCACTTTAAGTTCAATATTTTAATTTGGTTCTTCCATTCAAGTTGGAGGTTAAATTTAATGATTTTAAGACACTTATCAATGTTTTGAGGTATACATGCAGAAAAAAACTAATCGAAATTTGAATGGAATGAACTAATTAAAATTGGACTCAAAGTGTAAAAGTCAAATTGTTCAAATTTAAATAACAAGACCAAAGTAAAATTCAAATTAAAAAACAGTGATAAAAAGTATAATTTAGTCTTATTTATTTTAGGGTTTAGCTTCTCTCAAATTATCATTTCTACTTTTGAGAGCGTTTAGACTTAGTAGGCCTATTTTGGAATCGATTTTGATGATTTAAACTGTTCACTTTTTTGGACTTATTGATTAGAATATTCATGAAGAAAATTAAAATAATTGGATATCGGTGGCTATATGTTTGAAAATTAAAATAATTGAAACATATAGCTACTGATATCCGATCATCTATTGTGGGTGTTATCCCAACAATGAAAAAAAAACACTAGGTACTATTGGAATCCAAACAAAGGCCCTCAACGAACAATAATAATAGAATAAAGGGTTAGACTTCTTTTCTATATTTACATTTCAATATGAGAAAATTTGAGAGACTTGTGGAGCCTACCACTAGTCCCGTTTTGATGATCACCGTTTATTTTTTAAGACTTGTTGAGTAGAATATTCATGCAGAAAAAATAAAAATCAAAGGGCTTTATGGGTAAGAAGCCCACTACAATTTTTTTTTTTTCTCAAAAAAACAAAAAAAAAAAATAATAATTTAAAAATTGATTATTGTTTATTTCTTGGCTAAAAATTGTGATTTTTGTCTTTGCAGGTTACATAGTCCCATAAGAGACCAAGCTCAGAGAATCATAGTAAAATCCTAGTGTCATGAGTTGTCCTTGTATTTCTAAGTGCTAAATAAGAGTTGCTTTGACAAAGCAATAATAATATTTTAGAAAAACAGTTATAAATACTTGCATGTAATTTTCAGTTGAATTATGTGATATAGAATTGCATTTCCTTTGCTTGCCCCTACAACTCACTTTTTAAAGAAGAATGTTCACACATTTACAACTTCCAAGTTATATTTAAATTTTGAATTTGTTCGAGAAAAAAAAAATTGATGATTGGTTGAGTAGTTTCATACCTTTTCTTTCGACATTCAACATCAAATGTGGGACACATACAACCCATCCACCATTAATACTTCATTTTTTAGGTTGATCATTGTGGATATCATATTAATTAAATTATGGCACAAATATAAAAAAAGGGTTCTATATTAACTTGAGGAAGTGAGACCTTGTGAGAAGGTTAACTCTAAAAATACAGAAAAGAAATACTGAATCAATATTTTGATAAGCCGGTTTTATTAACAAATCTTGTAAAATTTAATCCATTACTTTCTGTGTTTAATTTATTTATCCCTAACATCGTTATATCAATATTAAGTTAGAGTATAACTTTTCTTATATCTACGCATAATTTAGTTGATTTAGCACACTTTTAATGATGAATCTAAAACAAGGAATTTAATGAGTAAATGTGATTGATTTTGAATCTTGTTAAAGAGTTCGTTTAAGAATTGACTATTTTAGTTAATTTTTAGACTTTTTATAAAAGAATACACAAAAAAAAAATTAAAAAAAATAATGTGATAATTTATAATTACCTTTTAATTTTTTTTAACTATTTTAAGTTATTAACAAACATGTAACAATGAAAATGTGTCAATAGTAATAATAATAATTGACACTGACTACATGCAATGCAATGACAATGTCCCAAGAAGTCACCAAGAATGAGTCCCAACAACAGCAACCCCTGGCTTGATTGAAAGTGATAAAAATAGGAGTAACTTTTCAGATTGGTTTCTCTCCGGTCTGTGATCAGATTGTTGGGTATTGTTGGACCTTTAAAGACTCACCACAGATCCCATTTCGATACTTCGAACCATTTAATATGTAGAACTCGTCGAGTACTATATGCCTGTAAAAAATTATGTTGATCGGATATCGATAGCTATTTCATCGAATCAGATTTCTGTCAACCGTTAATTTTTTCACTGTTTATTTTTTTTTTTATACAAAACTGATTTGATCATGTAGCTATCGATATCCAATCAACGTGATGTTAACACGTATATAGTATTCGACGAGTTCTATGCATTGAATGATTCAAATTATCAAAACAGGACTTGTGGTGGACCCCCACAAGCCCAACAGCACTCCAAACCCAAATATAAACATAGCAATTACTCAAAAATATAAGTGACATGCATTACAAATTTTTAAATCAGTAATACTGTATCTACTCAATAAAATAGAGTATCATGACTCAAACAGTTAAAAGTCTCATTTTTAAAGCTAATGTTATATCATTATGATTAATCATCCACAATAATAAAAAATCATGCATAATCACATGAGTAATAGTGTAAGAACATTTGTAATGACACTTTCGATCAAGTTAAATCTAACATCACACTTGGAGACATTTCGAAATAGTGTCAAAATATTTTTCACAAGACAATTAAATATCAGAATAGTAGATCAATTCCATTACACCTTTCAAATATTATAAATTAAAAGACCATATGTAGTTCATAGTAAATTTGATTTTAGGCTCTTTTTGGCAAAGATTACAACAGTAAAATTTTTCTCAAAATTTTTCGACATTATTGAATTTTTTTATATTTCTATAAAAAAATCTTTTTTCAAGTCCTAAAATTTAGAAGGTTATAAAAAGTTTATTTATTTATTTATTTATTTTTGTGGAAAACCTTGACTGAAGGCAACTAATGGAGAAAAGTAATCATGAGGAAGACCTCGTGTCGGCAGGACCACAACTTCATGTCAAAACTTATAGAAATAGATCAAACATATTTTTTTCTTAATTATAGGATTGAATTTGATGAATATGATTTTTCATGGGCAACTATGATCATTTTCAATTAAAAAAAAAATGGGTCTATTTTTCTTACCAGCACACTTATGATAGGTCAATTTAGGGTGTATTTGGTATAACTTTTTAAAAATTAAAATTTAATAATTAAAAAACAGAAATAAAAAATATACTAATTTTTCTCAATTTCTAATATATAATTCCTTTAACTTATTTAAGTTATTTTTATCATATAAGTTATAAGTAAAAATTGTATCATTGAACTTTTATCTGAATTTCACTTTGATTCCTTATTGTTTAATTGTAATAATTAATCTTCACAGTTTAACGCATGTTACAATATAATCCTTTTCGGTTTGATATTTAAATGAAAATTGAAACACGAGAGACTAAAATTCAAGTAAAAATTTGAGTGAAAAGTATATTTGAGTTAAAATCTAATGACTTAATTATTATAACATAAAAAAAAAAGAACAAAGTAAAATTTAAATAAAAAATTGCGATTGAAAAATATATTTATAAATTTTTTTTGAATATGAATAATCAACATATTTTTTTCTTAATTATAGGATTGAATTTGATGAATATGATTTTTCATGGGCAACTATGATCATTTTCAATTAAAAAAAAAATGGGTCTATTTTTCTTACCAGCACACTTATGATAGGTCAATTTAGGGTGTATTTGGTATAACTTTTTAAAAATTAAAATTTAATAATTAAAAAACAGAAATAAAAAATATACTAATTTTTCTCAATTTCTAATATATAATTCCTTTAACTTATTTAAGTTATTTTCATCATATAAGTTATAAGTAAAAATTGTATCATTGAACTTTTATATGAATTTCACTTTGATTCCTTATTTTTTAATTGTAATAATTAATCTTCACAGTTTAACGCATGTTACAATATAATCCTTTTCGGTTTGATATTTAAATGAAAATTGAAACACGAGAGGCTAAAATTCAAATAAAAATTTGAGTGAAAAGTATATTCGAGTTAAAATCTAATGACTTAATATTACAACAAAAAAAAAAAGAAAAAAAAAGAACAAAGTAAAATTTAAATAAAAAATTGCGATTGAAAAATATATTTATAAATTTTATTTGAATATGACTCATCATTCATGCCAACTCATAAAGAGAAACGGGTGAAAATCATGAAGGGAACACCCCATGGTGATCATAAACTTTGGCAATCAAAATTTCACCCATTTCCCAATATCAAGAAGCCAAGCCCATTTGCTAACTGTACCGTCTGATCAAAATCAATTGTCACTTACACAAAATACCATGTGAGTGAATGGTGAGAGTCACAACTGGCCAAACTTGCCCCCTCCCCCCACCGTTGGATAAAAAAAATCAATCAACACAGTTCACACAAAATTTAGAGATTATTTACGATGATCTAAATAAAAATATTTTTTGATTTTTTAAAAAAAAAATATATGATAAAAAAAATAATATGACCTAAATAAGAAATGATGTGATTTAAAGAAAATAAAAATAAATAAATAAAAAGATGTGCTAAAGGTTTGTTTTGGAAAGTAATTGATTTTTTTTTAGTTTTTTAAAAAATATATATACAAAAATAGAGAGATTATGTAATTAAAATAAGTTAACAACCAATAAATTGACCCCTTTTTTTTTTTCATATTTCCAAAAGAGACAAAAGTAGCACATGCCAAACATCCTCTTAATAATGTCTTTGACACACTTTTGGCGTTTTGGTAACATAATAAAAAGTTAGATTGGCTTTGATAGAGTTTTAGAATTATGATTTGATAATAGAATTGTATTTTAAGTTTGTGAGTTTTGAAATTATGATTTGAGTGTGAAAAATTTGTTTGATTATGAATTTTAAAAAGAATTTGAATTGAGTGATGTGACATATAATATTGAAAAGTGAATGTTTTGAAAACTAAATGTGAAATTAATTTTCTAAAACTGTAACCAAAGAACACACTCAAACTAAGAAGTATAATTGGATTTTAAAAGTTTTACTAAATAGAGCCTTAATTTTTTGACTTTTTAACTTTTTAAAATCATATTATCTCTCTATTTTTTTAACAAAACAATTAAAAAGTCACAAAAAAAAATCAAAAAATTAATTTTTTATCAATTTCCCAAAACACCATTTAAACATTCAAAAACCACTATCTTAAATTAAAAATAAAAAAATCACAAGGGAAGCTGGTCCCGTCCCATGCACATTCATCATCAAAATCCTTCTTAATCTTTAAAGTAGGTCCCACCTACACCCAATTTTGTCCCAGGCCAGCATGCAATATTGTGGCCCCCATCAACAAAAATGACACCACCACCACCACCACCCACCCATGGAAAACTTTCAAAGATTGGTGTTTATCCCGTGATATGACCTCTTACCGTAACAAAATAAACTCTCTTAAAAAAATATATATATATATATATATAAACTATTTTCATCTATTTAGTCCTTAAATTTTTTTATTTCACTTCATATAGTCTAATTGGATATTGTCCGTTAAAATTAGTAATGATAACACCTAATGTGCTTTGATCCTATATTATAAATTGTGACATTAATCCATGGCCTTGTTACCTAATAAAATGGAGGAAGCACTTGGGTGTTTGCTAGGGAGAGATTGCGAGTTCAATCCTACAAGAGCTAATATAACAAATTGATTTTCGTCGGTAAAAAAGTATTTGTTACATTTAGAAGTTTAAATTAATTAGATATGGGATAGTTTTACTCATTCTATTTTTTCATAAAAAGTCAAAAAGTTAACCCAAATATCCATATTTTTTTCCTCAAATTTTTAGTCTAAAAAGATAAAAAATGCACTTATTTAGGACATCCCAAACAATCCCTAAATTGAACAATGATAGAAATACAAAATTTTTATTAAAATACTCATAATTGCATAACTCACATCCATATAAATATTTAGTAAAAATTTATTAGAAAATTTAAAAAATTTAAGATATTATAATTAAATTTAAAAATAATATTATTTTAACATAAAAAGACCAAGCATTTTTTTTTGGGTGAATGACCAAGCATTTTCAAATTAGTAAAGTGCAAGTTTCTAGTGTTGAAAAACACACTAACGACGCAATCCACATAAATTCTCACCATTTTATATTTTTTTTGCCTCATTTATCACTAGCAAGAAATTTCTATTAAATTTATTTTAAATATAACTCTTAAGTCTAATTTTATATTATACAAGTCAAACTCTAAATAATTTTTGCGATAAATAACTTTTTGGATCACATTAATGATTTTTTGTTTTTATTTTTTTTTGTTACTTGTGTTAATTTGAATATTATAGAAGATGCAAGACATCTCTTGAAAAGGTGTAGATATTCTATTCAACACATTTAAATATCAATTTACGCGCATCATATTAAGTTTCTACAGTTCGAATAAACTTTCTAAAACAATCGTCACTCAGTAGACCAACCATCCCGTGGCTAAGTGATGATACTCACTCAAAAAACTTAAAAGACAATCAAGGGTATAATAGTCTATTCATCCTTTCTATCTTATCCATTCATCTTATTGACGGTGTCAGTTACTTCTACCACTATCAATTTTATTCTTAATTTCTGATCAATTTTTGTTAAGCATTATCAAAATTATAAAGAACAAATCAAGGCAAGAAATCATCCACAATACAAGGACCACTGATTTAATTTTTTTTTATTTTTTTTTTGACCCATGATGAATGGGAAAATGAAAAGAAAAGTTTTTCCACAGCCAAACACGAAAAAGAGAGACAGTTGGTGAGTGGAAACCATATCAGAAGGAAAATGAAAAAGAAAAAGAAAAAGCTGAAATTTGAATTGTGTCTCTGAAGCATGTAGTCCTTTCCTACCATTGCCTTTGCCTTACATGCTCTCTAATGCAAAAACAACATCATATCATAACCACTGCAATTATTTAGTCCCCCACAATATACATTATATTATAACATAAAGTTACCCATTTTCAGAATCCCAAGAAGCAAACACCTTTCTTTTTCTTTTCTTTTCTTTTTTATTATTTTTTTTCATTTTCTCTCTCCCTTGCCGTTGACTGAATGGCTACAATGCTGTTGAAATGTTACTCATTCCTATTTACAAGTTACACATTTTTTTTTATCAGCAGATATTAGTAATTAGATTAGTGAAAATTTTTTTATTACTGACAAAATATTTAAATGTTTGTACACTTTTAATGTAACTCTTTAAGGAAAATTGAATGCATGATCTCCTTAGGATTAAACCCTAAAAAATAAATTATTAATTTTTTCTTATAATTCTAATACAAAAGTAATGAGTCACATAGTTAAAGTCAATAATTATTATTTTAAAACACCACCTAAATATATTCTGAAAGTACTAGATAATTTCCCACTAAGCTTCTAAGACCATATGATTTTCTCACTCTCACACTCTCTCTCTCTCTCTCTTCTTAAATACAACCATTTTCTCATCATTCATGAGCATTAGGACACAACACAACATATCCAGAGAAATGGGTGACCTTCACTCTCTTGCTTACAGCTCCACTCTCCACCACCACAGCTCTTCCCTAGGTTGGGATTTCCACAACCTTGGAGTTCTCAACGCAGACAATATGTCTCATTGTAATATACCCTACTCTCATCTTTTATCATTCTTTTGTTTTCTCTCTATCTTTTGCTTACAATGATTTACAATACTTTTAAATAATACGTATCGATATTAACGATACAATCATATATATTAGTTCATATTAAAAGGTATCAATCCATGCATCAATTAATAATATTGAAGGCTATCGATCGATATATTGGTGAATTATAAGTTTTTATGTTGATATTAGCAATATAATCTTTAGTTAATTTTTCAGTGAATATCGATATGAAATTTAAAATTTTGATCAGTCAATATTTAAAACTCTTGTAATTTTAGATATATAACATTTACTATTTGTAAGGCTTATGGTGTTCTAATTTGCATGTACTTGCAGTTATGGAAGCCACTCCACCATTTTTCTCTCCCTTTGAATCTGATTTCTCCACTGGTTATCTACAAGATGCTCTGTTTGAATTCAATGAAAGGTCTAAACGACGGCGTTTGCTGGTGTTTGCCGACAATGGATACAAAGAAACAAATGAGCCTGTTAAGGTAATCTTACCACTAATTCATCCATTTCTGTGAAAGTTTTGTTTTGAACTGTTAAGATTGTGATGTTGAGAGGCTCAAATTTGAATTTTTTTTTTATTTTTTGTGTGGGTCCAATTAGACTGAATTTCAAGCTAGGCAGAGCTACTGGGACACAAACAACACAGAGAATTGTTCAGAGAATTTTAGTTACCTAAGTCAGATAACTAGCTGCTATGGAGTTTCAGGTGATTAAAGTGTATTCATTTTCTTGAAATCTTCACATATTTAGCTCTACATAATTAGAGTAGTGTTTTACAAATATAAATAAAAAAAATTTATAGGTAGAATGATATAATTGCATTAAAATTTATGAATTTGCAACTGTCACATTGTTCTGGTGACAATTTCTATACACAAATTTCACATGAATAGCATTTTATTTATGAAAAATAATTTACAAGTAAGATTTTTATAAAAAAAAAAAATTCATTTAAAATGATGTGATAGTGACTTTTTTGTTTAAATTATGTATTAAAATAATTGATACTTTGAGTTAAAATAAAAGAATCACAAAAAAATCATATCATTCGGTATGAAAATTCCGTATAAAAATTTTGTTTGGTATCTTATTATTTAAGAAGCCCCATGACAATTGAAATGAAGAAAACGAATTTAGTTTCATGATTATGTCATTTGTAATGTTTGTACCCCCACAATATTGTCACTTTGAAAAGGTCTCTTTAAAAGATTTGAATGACTTCAACATTAGAAAGTACTTGATTTAGATGATGTAATAGTGTCATTTTTAAAGTAATAATATTTTTTAATGAGTCTTTTAATTTGAAATGATAATATTCAATTATGCCATCATTTTATACAAAAAAAAATATATATATATATATTTTTTATATGAGTATAGTAGTAGTGAGCATGTTCTTTATTTTCCATCATTTCAGGTGAACCCATTTTGAGAGAGATGAAAACACCAGAAGAGGAAATATCAGCTTCAGAAGCTTTTGAATCTTCACAATCTTCTCACAAAGACTCAGTTAACACCAACTACATCCCTGACAAAGAAACCCTATACTCCTTAGACCCCATTTCTCCTTCTGGTACTTCACTTTTCTCGCTCTCTCTCCATGATTTTAAATAATAATATCAAGATGCGTTTCAATATTGAAAATATTCTTCTTCCCCCTCCACTCTCTATTTTTTAAATTACAGTTTTAAAATACGTATTAGTATTAGTGATATTTCTCCCCCCCCCCCATAGTTTTAAAAAATGCTATCAACATTCATGTCAATATTTGTGACACTTTTTCCTTTCTCCATCTTTTTAATTAATAGTATTAAGATATGTATCGATATTAATAATAATTATTTTCTTCTTTATTGTAATTTTAAATAACAGCATAAAAATATATGTCAGTATCAGTAATACGGTCATATATTAAAATTAAATAATATCAATAATATACTGGTGAATACCACTATTAAAATTTGAAAATTCTAACACGTATAACCCATCACATACCCCAGTACACTCATGATGACATAAACATGCATGTATATTGTAGTGAGTTTTATTTTATTTATTTATTTTCTTGTTCTTGGGGTGTGCTTTAGAGGTTGGTGAAAAGAGAAAGAAGAGGGTGATGACAAAGAGATTGGTGTATCCATTTGCACTGGTGAAGCCAGGAGGGGTTGAAGGGGACGTGACCTTAAATGACATCAACGAGAGGATCCTTATGCCACCGACTCGGCCGGTGAGGCACCCCGTCGGAGACTACGCTTGCCGGCCACTCGTGTCGCCGGACGGACCGGGATTGTCCGGCAAAGCTGTGGTGGCATTTACTAGAATTCACACCCAAGGCAGAGGCACTATCACAATAATCAGAACTAAAGGTTAAAAAGAAAAGAGCTGTAATTAGGAAGTGTGTTTTGCTATTTTTAGCTAAGTTCAAAGCTCATGCTTGCTTGAATTGTATAGGAGAGACATTTGTATGTATGTATGTTTGTATGTATTTTTGTTCACTTGTACACGTTATATACACTAGAGGTGTGGGCACACGGTGTGTGAAACAGTTAAATCAATCATCGCAATTATTAAGTTTTGAAACGGTTAGATTTCAAAGAATATTTTGGGTATCAAAAAAAATTATGAAAAATCTTGAAAGAGTTAGATATTGTCCAACAAGAAAAAGCTAGAATATGGTAAGAGATTAATAATACATACAAATGATCAATATATTAAATTAACAAACTAAGGTTGGTAATTTGGTCTGAAATAAAATGTACCATTTATCTAAAATTTCGTTAGAGAAAGAAATAATTTTATTATTTAGAACTTCAACATAATAAGCATATGGATTCATTTTTGTCTTATAAACACATGTATAAATTACGATACCATACAACTTTTTATACAATGATAATACATTAGTAGTAATTTTGAAATTATATTGTTTTGGTTAATAAATGACCATAACAATATGTAAAAGTACTACTATATATGTACCTAAAATTGTTTTATAGAATTAATGTATTACACTATAAGTAAAGTATATACATGTACGGAAAATATTTAGGACTAACAGAAAAACCTTTTACAATTGAATTCATAATGATATGATATAATACATGTCAGCTTTTAATTTCTTACATTTTTAATTATATAGGGTCTATTTTTGTTACCACATCGCTGTAAATAAATTTAAAATTTTAATTTGTAAGTCTGTTTCACTACTTATATATGTACCCTGAATGTAGCTTTGTCAGTAGTGCTGGGAAAGCCTAGCTAAAGAGAACTGACAGTACTCCCCCCACAACCACAAATGAAAGTGGCATGTGCACCAAAATCAGGTGAGTTTTTGCCTTTCGAAGTTTAGAATTTCACCCAATTCACACTTCATGTTTTGTCAAAAGTTATTCAATTGAATATGAATGCAAATATGTGAAGCGTGCATTAATTTAAGTTGTGTTTAGATTATACATTTGAATAAAAATTTGAAAATAAATTATTGTTTGGAAAGGGTATGCCCCTTTTGTTAGCTGTATTGGCTTTGGTTTTTTTCGGATTGAATTTCAATTTATCTATTAAAAAAAGATTTGGAAAGAAAAAGGAAGCGGTTTGATGTGTTTTTTTGTCTAGCCTTAAAAGAAAAAGAAAAATATAAGTGAAATATAAGTAAAATATAGTTATATTTCATTCATATTTCATCTATTTATTTTTTTTTTTCCTTTTCAAATCCCTATCTAAATCTATAATTTAAATACAATCTTAATATTTTATCTCTACCTTAAACTTAATCAACTATGCTACAAATTCAAACCAAAAAAAAAAAATCTTAGATACTTGTTGGTTTGTAAATCTTAAGATTGTGTTTGGATATTATATTTTATTAGAAGGTTTTGGAAAGAAAATAAGAAAAAGAAAGAAAATATGAATGAAATATAAATTAAATTTTTGTACGTTTCTTTATTTATTAATTATTATTTATTTATTTATTTATTTTATTTTTTTTGCAAATATAAAACACAACCTAAAATTATATCAATTGACACCAAAATTAAGTTATGACATCTTTGGGATTGATAGTATCTTCAAATAAATTCATATCATCCGTGTAGATTCATCGGAGAAAATGAGTGTGCATTTAATTTCATTTGTAGTTTTATTAATTAATTACATTATATAAAATCATATAACTCTTACTCTATATTTGTTGACTCTCCAATAATAGAGTTCAGATATGCTAAAATTGAAAATCTTAATTTTACATGTAAAGTTGGTAAATTGTGAGACCAATTGGTATCTATTTCAATAATTTAAACCGTTCATCTCATATAACAAGCTGAGAAGAATATGCATATAAAAATTAAGTTAATCAGACATAAGTAATCATATTATCAAATCACATATATATTATAACAAATCGATAGCTTATTTTTAAAAACATGTATGTCGTAAGATAAAAATGATTAAGTGATGACAATCAATGTTGAATCAATTTAATTTTTTTATATAGATAATTTTCTCGGTTGAATGTATAGGATAAATAATTTAAATCACTGAATTAAGTCCAAGTTAGTTCTATAATGAGTCAATTTCACCAGATAAATATTGGGATTTTTAAATTTCACAAATCGAGAGTCCTAAAGATATCTACCCCATTCATTATCTTTTGATCCTCTTACAATAGATTGGAGTTTCCACGGAACAAAGTCAAAAGAGTGGATCAACATTTAAGAAAAACAAACAAAAATAAATATTAAACTCTAAACAAATCAGAAGTCAAGCCATGCGAACCACAAAAACGACAAAAGCACTTAGTAATTTATTTCCATGACTATAACATGGCGGGTAGATGAAAGTCAATATGATATTGAAAGAATCACATATTTTGAGTTCTAGAACTACTATTTGCAAAGTAATTAATATTAATGGAGATTAATTTTAACTCAAAAGGGACTAATGACACTACAAGATGATTCAAAATCTCCCTTTCGTGACTCAAACTAAATAAATAATAAATAATTATACTAAAAAAATTAAAAAATCACTTAATCAACGAAATTTCAGTTAAAATAAAATTTAAGCAGATCAAGATGTACATAATCTTAAATTCAGCAAAACATTCAAATCCACCTGAAAGAGGCCAAGAGTTGTGCTTCAAAGGCGGTTTTCAATCAAAGTATTAAGTATGAAATAATTTTCAATTTCATTTAAAATTATATTTTTGCCCACATTAACAACTCTACACCAAGTTATGTGGTTCATAGTTAAAGAGCACAAATGCTAATAGTGGCCATGTAAAGATAAGATGATCCTCAATTTTAATTGGAAGAACATGACCACTTTAGAAGAAGGGAACCAAACTCACATAATTAAAGTTATAGGCTGCCCTAATCATTAGTCTAATACACCTGGAAATATTAGCCTAAGACACTCTACTTTATATATATATATATATATTGCTGTAACCCAAATTCCACAAGAGCTAGTAATGTCGTTTTCTTCATAGGTCAACAAGAGTTGTTGCTCTTTTCCGAATTCAAACATCACAAATCACAAGACAGTATCTAACATGTGGGACCTTATGAATGGCCCATATTGTTAACATAGTGTTCAATTACTATGTGGAGAAGTTATTGAGTGGTTCTATACTAAAAACATATGGTGTTCTAACAGTATATTAGGGTATGATAATTAGTTAATATTCTGTTAATTTAAGAGCAATGGTTAGTGATGGGCCTATCAGTAAGGGTCTTTCTCAATTATAATGTTGTACATTAAGCGTCACTTCAACATTGTAATTAGTAGATACTTTGTTAATCTAGTAGTAGCTATCAGTGAAGGGTCTAATAATAGAGATACTCTTTAGTTATAATATTGTACGAGAATTACTTGAACATGGCACTTAGTAAATACTCTATTAATCTAATCGTAGTTGTTAGCAACTGGCCTACCAATAGGGACATCCCCTAATTATAATATTGTATGAGCGCTATCTAAACATGATAATTAGTGAATACTCTGATAATCTGATGGTAACCGTTAGTGATGTGCCCTATTAATAAGAACAATCCCAATTATAATTTTTTTTTAAGCACCACATAACAATACTGTAAGAGCAGATTAAAATTTTTCGATTATCTACCACACTTGCTGATTATCCACTTCAAACCCTTTGACTTGTTATGATTAGAAAGGGTTATAATTTTTATAACCATCCAATGGTGGTGGTTAAGGGCATACTAACTCTCGAGGGAGAGCAAGTCAAAGTTGTATAGCCAACCCTTTTGGCATGTGTGGTGTGCACCTATGTACATATGTTGAAAACTTTGTGGGGGTGAGAGGGAGTGATGTGGATTAGGGTTTTGTCCCTTTACAACAGTCATCAGCTTTTGTGTAGGTGAAGAAGCTAGCTTTTGACCTTTTATATGGCATGCACATTTTTTCATCTTTATGATTTTTTTTAGTTATTTAAATAATCTAATAAGATGGTATTTGGTTTACTTAAATAATTTCATACAAAAATAGAATAATTATTTATTGTCTTTTTAATTGAATAACCATTCTCCCAAATTGAAGAATTGTAATTCTCTTTTCAATGTAAATTTATTTTTTATTTTTCTATTAAATCAAATATGAGAATGAATATTCTGATATAGAATGACCATTTTACTTGAATTTTATTTCAGTAAATTAAACACTGTATAGATAGGTATTAGTACTGGAAATTTTTATATTTGCCCATTTGATTTGCCTATTTTCTAGGGAATAATAGAGATACTCTTTAGTTATAATATTGTACGAGAATTACTTGAACATGGCACTTAGTAAATACTCTATTAATCTAATCGTAGTTGTTAGCAACTGGCCTACCAATAGGGACATCCCCTAATTATAATATTGTATGAGCGCTATCTAAACATGATAATTAGTGAATACCCTGATAATCTGATGGTAACCGTTAGTGATGTGCCCTATTAATAAGAACAATCCCAATTATAGTTTTTTTTTAAGCACCACATAACAATACTGTAAGAGCAGATTAAAATTTTTCGATTATCTACCACACTTGCTGATTATCCATTTCAAACCCTTTGACTTGTTATGATTAGAAAGGGTTATAATTTTTATAACCATCCAATGGTGTTGGTTAAGGGCATACTAACTCTCGAGGGAGAGCAAGTCAAAGTTGTATAGCCAACCCTTTTGGCATGTGTGGTGTGCATATGTACATATGTTGAAAACTTTGTGAGGGTGAGAGGGAGTGATGTGGATTAGGGTTTTGTCTGTTTACAACAGTCATCAGCTTTTGTGTAGGTGAAGAAGCTAGCTTTTGACCTTTTATATATGGCATGCACATTTTTTCATCTTTATGATTTTTTTTAGTTATTTAAATAATCTAATAAGATGGTATTTGGTTTACTTAAATCATTTCATACAAAAATAGAATAATTATTTATTGTCTTTTTAATTGAATAACCATTCTCCCAAATTGAAGAATGGTAATTCTCTTTTCAATGTAAATTTATTTTTTATTTTTCTATTAAATCAAATATGAGAATGAATATTTTGATATAGAATGACCATTTTACTTGAATTTTATT